ATACATATACATATACATATACATATTATAATTCACATACGAAGTTTGTTGTTTCAAAATGTTTATCTTGTAATTCTTTCAATGAAATTTATGCGAACTTTTATAGAGAATTTCTATTCAAATCGTAATAAATACATGTGATAAACAAAATATTCTCTTTTACGATTTCTTATGCATGATAAAATTGTCAGCGGGGGTTTATACCGTCGTAATTGTGTTGTAGGTTACGGATTTGTAGACTTCGAGTCACCGATGGCGGCAGAGGGTGCTGTGAAAGCACTGGTCGCCAAGGGCATCCAAGCGCAGATGGCGAAAGTGGGTATCTGGTTGCTCCGTAGACTGGACAGTGTACGTGGTTGTGCATGCAAGTACAGAGTAATACCAAAGTAACAGTAAACCTCTCTCTCTTTCTTTCTCTCTCTTTCACTCTTCTCTTTCTTTTTCTCTTTTTCTATTGTCTGTATCATTTTTTATTCTGTTCTGTCATTCTGTTATATTGTCCATCTGTTTCTTCGTTCATCTTCTCGTCGCCCCGTTTTATTCGTGAAGCCGTTTCGCCGGAGAGTCGATTAAGATAGATCTTCTCACGGGTATTTCCGAGTATGAAACAAGACGCTTTTTCGACATCGATTTCTCTTCTAGTGCTTGTAGTGTTCGAAACAAGTGTTAAATATTAGCGTATTTCTATCAATTGCAATTTACATATATATGTATAATTTTTAAATTTTAAATTACTTCATATTTTTATTTTAATAAATTCTTGTTTATTAAAGAGTAATTTTGAAGTTAAGTTTTCGTGCACGGCAGGGTATCGCTTTGCGCATTTATATTAATAAACTTTATTCAGTTTTTACTACTATATACTCTACAAGTAGATTTCATTTGTTTCCATCCAAATTTAATAAAATTAAAATTTGCAAATATAATTTCAGATAATCCAAAGTATCCAATAGAAGTTATAAAAAAACAATCGTAAATCATTATACATTTAATACATACAATTCGGTAGAAAATTTATATTTTCTATAGCGACAAGCATATATTTCCAATAAATATTTTTCTGTGCGTGTATCTTTCTATATATCGGGGACTGTAATATTGTTTCCATCGAGAATCTGTCTCTGTTTCTCTCTGCCTTTTTCATTTATCTAGAAATTTTCTCTGATACTTTGTCTGTTATTCTGTCTTACGTACCTTACCTACCAGACCTTTATCGGTGCTTGCTGCTATACCTCGGCCAAATACAGCCGATACTATGCTATGTCGACATTATGTCTACAATCGTCATGTCATGAGAATTGCATTCTGCGAATTTCAGCATTAATTTCGAATCTCAAAGAAAATTCAATAACCTGTCGATATCCATATAAGGTCGTATTCATAGTAATTATTTAATATAGGATTGTGAGATTTCATGAATTTCTATTTAATTATTTAATATTCATTTTTTTTTTCATTTTTTAGAAGCTCATAGGCTTCAAATATTATTTGATTTATAGATAAATGATATAAATTATATCGTCAAATAATTGATAAATAATTAAACTGTTAATTATATAAAATAATATATTTAATGTAACGTTTTTTCCCTATTATGTCGATATCTGTTTTTTTGTAACTTATACGTATAATCAATGATAATACTGATATATTATGAAAAATAGCATTTATAATTGTATTATATTTGCCAGATGTCAAAGTAATTCAATTAATTACTTGAAGCTTATTTACTGAATCGGTAATTAATATATAATAAACAAGAGACTGAATGGCTCAGTTAATAATTACGATTATTTAAATAATAATTTATTTAGCAGCAGAAATTTAACTCAGCAAGAGATTTATAAGTTTAAATCTATATAATAAATATGTTTGCTATTAGAGACAAAAAATATTTTATGAGATTATCTCCATCTATGAATACCGCCCTTGGAGCTTGACTTTGCTCGTTAAGTGATTTGACAATAAAACGAAAGAAAAAAGAAAAATGTTATATTGAAGTATGGCAGCACAAGCGACGTATCAGTAGTAGCTCTCTAGCATAGTAACATCAATATATTGTGTAACGTTTATTATGTTTCCGTGTAACATTAGCAGTTTAAAGAAAAGAGTAATTACCTTAAACCGTAATATCAGATTAAACTTGTCAATGTCGACTCGATAGCAGTGTTCGGCGGTGTGATCGTCTATTTCTTTTTCTTGATAAAAAATGATTATATGATTCGCGATTATTTATTTGATAATTATGCTGATTTAATTTTATTAGCTGATCAAAGATTCGATTGCATTTCGCCTGACTCTGCTTTGCGACAGTCGTCTCAGTCTTACGTTCTCTTGCATTAAATCCTGCTCGAGACAATCATAAGTAAAGAAAAAGCACACACTGCCGAACGAGAGAGTATCGGCCTCCCGCCTGTTTGTACTATTTGTCCTTGTACGACTAACTCCAATGGAATAGTTCCTTTAAGCTGACCGTGGTAAAAAGCACGGGGTGTGATGACCAGCAGCTGTGTAAAATAATGATAATGATGTCAATCGCATGCGATATGATATAACTAAAAGCGAAACAGTATATAATTTTTCGGTAAATCCTATAATCGTATGGTTACGCGGTTCGGATATAGGCGTTGTCTTTCCTCGAGGGGTGTTGGTTGGGTCGGATTCACACGTACACTTGTCTTACTTCTCTTATATACAAATATATAATGAAACATTAATCACACACTTTAATCAAATACACACCTACAGGTTGCGAAGTGCATTCGGGAGCCAGTCTTAAGATTCAGAAAAAACGGGACCTCAAGTTTGGTAATTAAACATTACTTGTACTACATAAAAAAAAGAGATCAAAGAGTCGATCACAGAATCGATTTGTTTTAAACCGCACAAATAATAACTATATAAATATAAAATGATGTTTATTACAAAGAATTACAAAGAGTCGTAGATAATGGAGTAAAAGAAACAATCGGAATCAGATAAAATGAACAAAACTACTCGAGAGAAAATGTCAATTATAAATCAAGCTGTTGAATCTTACAGAAAAGTTCCCGATAGCATAGGTCGTATCTTTACGAATTTGTAAACTGTTCTATCGGAATATAAAAAGTACAATTAAGACATAATGCAACAGAACTCGATTATTCGAATATCATTTAACCGAGTATTCGAATGGTGTGAGAAACGGTCAATGATTATCTGGACGATCGCTTTTACGAAAAAACGTCCGTTCGGACATTTACATATTTTCTCTAATTATTCGAATTATCAAACGTTTGGTCAAATAGTATTCGATATAATCAAGTTCCTACTGTATCTGATATATACCAGGATGTCGCGGAATGGAAGACGGTGCGATTGAAACTGTCGATGGAAATGGAAAGTCGATGGACTTGGAATCTGCACGCATTTACTCGAAAAAAACAAATAAGCTTCGTTTCGTTAATAATCGACACTGTCTCATTCCATGGCAATCCTCATACATATGCGCACGTGGATATCCATGCACGTATACATATGTATGTATGTATACGTACATATATATGTATGTATGTATGTATGTATGTATATACATATATATTAAAATGCCATCAGCTTGGCTTATATTATCATGATATTTTCATTATTTGTTTTTTTGTTTTAATGCATTCGCAAGATTGAAGTAAATTGTCGTAAAGTATAAGTATATACTCAAGTAATCGTAGAATACTTTTGATTGGTTCGTTGACAAAAGTGGTGGATCTCGAAATATGCTTGAGGGTGCATAATATCTCATCAGTCTTCAGACATGCATACGTTTTTACTTTTTTCTGCATTCTCTTCATTTCTTTTTTTTTTTTTTTTTTTTCCTTTTCTTTTCCCTCCTTTTCTTCCTTTGTTCTATTTATCTTATACTCTCCTGTGAAACTCATAATAAACAGAAAATCGGAGCATGAACACATGTATATGTACGTCCATATACTTCACATATATTATGTGTTTTGTGCGACACTATACTCGTCAAGAGTTGCTCTGTTTCTCCACATTTGTTCATTACTCATATACAATATATAACTGTATATACATATATGTATGTATATATATATGTATACGTAAAAATGCCTGTGCTTTTCTTTATCATGCTTCTCTTTCTCTATATCTTTCTCTCTTTCTCTCTCTTTCTCTCTTTCTGTTTCCAATGAAATGTCACATGTTACTTGACCCTATTCTTTATTACCGCTTTGAATGGTTATTTGTAAAAAATGATGAGGACGATTTTCGACACATGTAAATAACATTAGAAACGTGAAGATAGATGTACGTTATTCGTATATAGGTACTATTCTTGATTATTTTCTTTTTTAATGCTGCCGGTGTGTAGAAATTTGGCCGCGTATCTTTAATTTTTTTTTTTTTTGCGGACGCTCTGTGATAAATTTATAATGTGTATCGGTTACATACGTCACGAAATTTTGAAACGCCACGGTAACTCGAGACGATTATCATTGCGCAAACGAACATTTCGCATCAAATTTCACCTCACGTGCACAATACACGGGAAAATTTGTCCAATTCTGTCTTACGAGGAAAAAAAACGCGACAAAGTGTATGCATAGGTGACGTATTTGTCTCGTTATCTTGTATGAATTAAATAGAAAATCTATTAACAGAATCTTGGTAGAAAGAACCGCAGTAGAGAGGTCCTATAATCTGTATTTTTTTTTTTTCATATTTGTACATTGTATCTTATTACATTCGATACCTTTATATATTCCTGTTTAATCCTTTTATTCGTTTTGTATTATATCCTCGTTCGGACTACTTTTACGTCTGATTTTATTTACGTGCATTTTCTCTTATCTCTGTCGTGTCTACTTCTTGGGACTTTTATCCTGAACCATAAAAAAACGACACGATTTTTTGACAAAAATTCGATTTTTTACGAGGAACTTTAACGTGTACAGTATGTGTATATGGTTTTATAATTTAATACTCGCGTTATACAGCATGTTCTTTTGCGTGCGGAAAACGAAAAGCCGTATTTTTAGAGGTAGAAGTACGTTAGTCGAAAGAGATGAATCGAATGCATCCCTAGAAGCAAGCAAATTTAGAGAGCCACCAAGAATGTGGTAACGTAATTGCCATGAAGCATGATTACCTTCCGACATTGAGACTAAATAATCGTCCAGTCGGTTCCACGTTCCGATACCGGTATTCGGTACCCATTCGTTCCCTATTTTTGCACTCTTTCTTCGAAATTTAGACGGCGATTACTGCTTAATGGTCTCCTCGTAGTGTCAATGTTGGTAGAAACGTTTTACGTTGTGCTATTTACGACGAGGCTAGCGATACTTTTCACGCGTACGGAATTTGGATTTATTTTTTCGCACGTGTCCGCGTTATCGCGGTTAGAAACGTCTCGTTATTTTGGAGAATAACATTTGAAAAAAAAAAAAAAACCTTTCCATGTGTTATTATTTTTTCAGTCGCCATTCGATAAACTCGCGAATATCATTTTAACGTTCCAGACTAAGCAAAAAAATTGCGCAGTCGCAACGTACTCATTTGTCACCAGATTATTCTTAATATTTTTTTATAACTCTGCGCTGATACATATATGATGACGATGAAAGTAATAAACAGTACAATGTAATAATGGTACTGAAATAATTGGACAGATTTTGCAAACGTGTTCAATCGGTTTCGAATTTGTGCATTATCGTCTCGTCTTGCCTGTGCATCAATTTCTGATCGATCGAACCCACAGAGAGCGGCGATAGAAACGACAGTCGTGGAAGTTAAAATGATAATCCGCTTCAGAATTGTCTGGAAATCATTATATCCATTGTGTCGCCCTGTTATATGTAATTGCATAGTATTTTTACTCTCTTCCCAGCAACAGGAGCAGGATCCCACTAATCTGTACATCGCCAACCTGCCGCTGACCTTTAAAGAGAACGACGTCGAGGCATTACTCGCTCAATACGGACAAGTTATCTCTACCCGTATCCTGCGCGACACTTCCGGCCAGAGCAAAGGAGTTGGATTCGCAAGGTTTCTACTTTTTCTTTCTTCATTTTATATATATAAGTTACTGTCACAATACCATGCAACGATAAATTTGCGCATATCCTCCCCGAGGAACAGAAGACACACTTTTATGGAGAAATCACGAATAGTATGCCTTCTATATGAAATTAGTATTCTGTATTAGTCTTCTTTTCTGTACTAGCATTTAACTTGTAGATTTACAGATGGAGCGATGTTCTTGCTCCTTAAAACGCAGGAAAAATTACTGCATATATGAGGCGCCGATGGGATCATCGAACCCGGATCCACGGATTATTAAATCCGCGGACCGAGCATCGAGCCACCTGGCGCCTCAGATTTGCTTCACAAGGTTCGCATGAAATCTGTGATAGTATCTCTTTTATCTTTTTTGAGGTGTGAATCGTATTTTAAATTATTTTGCTATGACTCTTTTGATTTCAAATAATACATTACTAAACAAGTAAAAATATTAACATCTATAACGGTCAAAGCTGGATTTTTAATGCTTAAATAATTCAATGTGAATTATATATACCTCGGTAATCTAAAAGGTCAGGATACTCGTATAGAATACAAAAGATCCGAGTTCGACTCTCGGTCAAGCCCGAGATAATATTTTTTGCAATAAATTTATTTACAGTTTTTCAGCACATTTTTCTAATATATGATATCAAATTGAACATCAAATTATTAAAATTCGCTTGTCAATTTAATTTATTTTGTGATATTATTACAGTAGTTTAATTGCGTTTATAAGTCCGGAAAATCAATTCGGCGCACAGGTCGAATGGCTGCAATATAGTATATATGTATATATAATTCACATTGAATTATTTAAACATTAAAAATCCAGCTTTGATCGTTATACACTTTAATATTCTCACTTGTTGTGTATTCACATATACGATCTTAATAAATTATTTATTATTGTTAATATATTACAACTTATGAATAATTTGGTGTTTTTACAACTGCATTACAGAATGGAATCCAAAGAGAAATGTGAACAAATTATACAAATGTTTAATGGAAAGGCACTAACAGGCGCAAAGGATCCATTATTAGTTAAGTTCGCTGATGGCGGAAATAAAAAGAAATCGTTGTTTAAGAGTACAATATGGAGAGAGACTGGAGAGGTACGTAATTATAATTATAAAATATTTACAAATGTCACGTATGTTGGTTAGATTAATAGACAACTTAATGTACTTATATTTTTCTTTTTTTAAATAGTAAACACAGATAGGATATAAATTATGTTATATCAAGTGTGATATATACTAAATATTTGATATATAGAATTTTTTGGCTTAAATACAAATCTAATCCTTTATATTATATATCTCAAAAATATTTGTATATCTTAGAAACAAATCTCAAAAAGCTTTATAAGTAATCATTTTATGATCAAGAATGTGCCAATCAATTTTTATTATTTTCATGTTCTTTTTCAGAATATGACTTTGAACTACGACACGAGTGGCGTTGGTCAGAACGGTGTTGCTACAACTCACATGCTTCCCACGACAGCTCTTACACAGTACAGTCGTCACTACAGTCAGGCATTGCCTGGTTACAGTGTGCCGGGCACTCCTTGGGTGGCTCCTTACCTCGTGCACCCTTCCCCGCCACATATGCAACAGGTCGACGTGAGTTTTTATACACTTTTCGTTCATTTTATTTTTATTGTTTTGCACATAGGATAGAAGAGAATGCCTTTGTATCGAATTTTGATTCAAGAATTTGTAATTTTGCATACATACGCGATAAACTCTGTAGATTTAATATTCAAATTGGAATATAAAATATTTAAACTAATATTTTTACTTTTAAAATAGAATTGCATTTATTTATTCTCACAACTGGTAGAAACAATTATTCTTTAATTGAAACATTCGTATGTTTACGAAATTACTCAATTGTTGTCAAACCGTATTTTTGGACACGCACTGTTTTTGTTTATTACGTCCGATTTATGTTTTACATTGTTTTGCTGTGTTACAAATTTTTTTTTATTTTTTGAATTTTTTCTCATTGTAATATCATAGAGTTTGTCATTGCTTCTGCTTCATCATCGGATTTTGTTGGTCTCTGTTACAGATGATACCATCGGCTGATCCTAGTAATCCACAATACAGTATGATTCCTCAGCTTACCACGCAAATGTCTACCTTGCATCTTGGCACTGGTTCCGTAAGTTTATTTTTTTTTTTTCGATTTTTTAACAGCTTGACACAAATTTCCGAAAGACATCTAAAAAATTGACATCTAGTTATTTATAACAAAATAAAAAAATTTTATTCTATAATATAATATATAGAATGATTTTGACGCTTCAGAATGTTTTAAATATTCCGATATTTAGAGTGTGTTAAAGATGAAAATTATTGGAGTTAATGAAGAGACTCCAGAAGTTGAGAAGTTTCTCGGACATTTGTATTTCTAGAACGAATTGATTTGAGCCAACAATGACAAATGATAACTGTCTTTTTCTTCTTTTCAGTACATAGCGAGCCCGCATCCCTATCCTTACACAACTTATCCCGCTCCTAGCATTATTCACACCATGCCACTGGGCGAGTCGGAGCAGACGAGTAACGCAGCGTCCCCCGACGACTCCTATCAGCAGTACCAGGCTCAACAGCCTAAGTAGGCCACGGTTTATAATAGGTCAGAATTCTTTTTTCTTCTTATGCCTTACGATGCAATACTGTGGCAAACTACAAATCTCTTAACTCACAGTAAGACGACAAATGGACAATAAAGAGATCTTTCGGTTACAGATGTACGATCGCGCTAAGGGTTACGTGAATTAGGAAAGGCTTACTGATTGACTTATGAAGATATGCGCAGAAGGAGGGCAACAAATACGAAAGCGGATTATACTAAGAAGAATAGATTTGAAACAAAAACTACATTACGTAACGAATAAGATTCTTCCTCACGATAAATTGACTTGCCAGCGTTTTTATACGTTTTATCCAACAGTAAATAGAGGAAAGTAGATGATATTTTGCAACGAGTAGGCAGAGTGAATGTTGAGAGAATGTGTAAGAGCGAGAGGAAATGAGCGAGCGAGAGAAAGATTATAATTGAAAGAAGTACAGGAAGATGAGTACGAGCACGATTACGTGTCGTCCGCGTGAAATGACACGTGCTTCCATACTAGTTATGGCTCCATTAAAGCTACGTGATGGTAACACGTACACTCTCATGTACACACATACAGAGAGAGGGAGAGAGAGAGAGAAAGAGAGAAAGAGACATAATATACGACAGTAACGAAAAAAAACCAAGTTATTTACGAAGAACAATTTAGTGTCAAGCTAATAGGCTTCCATGATGTAACTTTAGGTATTATGTTTACTACGGACAGATGACAGAAGCTAATCGAATCTAATCTCGAGAGCTCGACAGTATGAATAAGTATTTTAATGAGTGAGAGCGAAAGAGAGAGAATGTACGTGTGGATGTGTTAATTATAAAGAAAAACGAGGAAAGAAGAAGAAAAAAGTAATGCTCAGAATTATACAAAGAAGAATTCTTCCCGAGGAAATAATAGTAAATAATAATAAAATATACAGCAAGAACGAAAGAGAGAGAGAGAAGGAAGCGAGAGTGAGAGAGAGGGAAAATGTGTGAGAGAAGAGAGGATGCACTACTTTCAGGACGATATTGAGAGAAGCAATTTAGAGATTCAAAAAAGGAGATATTTATTCGAAACATATGCGAAGATTGTCTACGGTGTAGAAACATACACGTGTGAATACAATTTATTTTTCGCGATAGCACTTCACCTTATCCGTTCTCTCGCATGCAGATTACGTAAGATGCACAAAACGGACGCTTACCACCGCACCCTCATCAAGTTTACGTATCTTTGAGTTTTTTTCCTTTTTTCATTTTCCGTTTTTATATTCAGAAACATTCCAAAAACTGGATATATATATATATGCGCGCATCACTATGCGGAGATATTTTTTTAATCAAAAATTCTGGAAGTACACTAACTTTTCTAGCGGCATCATGCATCTCTATCGTGTGCGTTTCCTTGTTTCTTTTTTTTAATGACAATGAAATTTTTTTATTGTGGATTAAATTTCGGAAACAAACCGGGAAAAGAAAAATATGACAGTAAAATTTGTTTCTAAAACGAGAGCAAGGGGAAAATGCAATTTTCAGAATTTACGTATAATTATTGTACGAAATACGGAAAGAAAAAAAATGAAATAGTACTTTTTAGAGCGTTGTATTTACGATTATTACAAGTTAAAAACGGATCGATATAAATTTTTAATTGTACAGTGAATACAGATATTTTTTTTAGAATCGTGCCTTTTCACACAGATCCGTTAAATAAAAGAAAGGGAGGGAGAGGGAGAGGGAGAGAGAGAGAGAGAGAGAGAGAGAGAGAGAGAGAGAGAGAGAGAGAGATATTTATATATATATGCAGGAGAAAATCGTTATAATATATTTTTACGCATCGTTAAATTTGATGCGAAGCCAAATCTTAATTTTCTAATTAATATATCTGTAATTGTTTTTGTATTAAATCTCTATACATTTGTTTTCGTTGTCAATTTAATAGATTTTGTGACGCGTGATAACATTATTGAATTGAATTTTTGTCGGACTGTATTTAAAAAAAGAAATAGACACTCACACACAGCACAAAGGCAGTCCGTAATATAATAATAATATTAAAAAGAAAGAGAAAATCTAGGAAAATCAAATCGCGACAGGTTAAGTAACAAGAATGGAGAGAAAGAAAGAGAGAGAGAAAGAGAGAAAGGAAGGATGATTGAAAATGTGTTTGAAATAGAGAAAGAAAGAGATTTAAAAAAATGGAAAAAAGTAGGTTTGTTACATGATGAGAAACTAGAATGTAAATTAATTTATTTTATCGGAAGAACCGTTATATATATATGTACTGTCGAGAAAGAACAGAAAGACGAAAAGTAAAAACGCATAGATGCATCGATTTACACCGTACATCACATGTATGCACGACAGATACACGCGTGTACAGACAGATTGAGGGGAGAGTAATCGAGACGACACTCTGTCATCTTTCGAGATGTCGAAATTGATGGCTGTAAATAAAATAAATATTTGTCTAAATGATCAAATGGAAAATTCGATCGAGGAAGATTGAACTTCTTGAGCGCTTTTGCGACCGCGCGAATAATTGTATTTACCGAAATGAGTATATTTTCTCAAAAATTTGGAAATTTGCAAAAGTAAACGCTTATATTACTTGATTTGATTAAATACCTTCGTGTTGAGTCCCGTTTCAATCGTGATTATTCTTCACGTTACAACCTGCGTCCAACGAGATCTCCATCTCTTCCCCTTCTTCTGGATGTCTCTTCTCCTATATCAATCATCACCATCACCATCACCATCATCATCACTATTGTCACCATTATCATCACTATTGTCACCATCATCATCACTATTGTCACTATCATTATCATTACTATTACTATTATCATTATTCGTGCATCCAGCGGAGTTTCACGTTAGGATCCGACTTAGGATTGATAGTTGAGAATTGAGTGAAAGAGCAATAAGGAGGGAGAGAGAGTGTGTAGGAAAGCTTTTTACCAAAAATATGCGAGAACCGCGGACTACTCGCGCGACACACGAGAAACTGATATGAAAAACAGCAGTGAGTAGGTAGTTAGATAGAGTTTTAGTGAAGAGAGAGAGAGAGAGAGAGAGAGAGAGAGAGAGAGAGAGACGAGTCGCGTCGCGTAGTTATTATTATAATATTACAATAATAGCGCTGTATTATTATAATTAACGATTTACTATTATTGACGTCATCTAAACGTATGAAAGATTTTTACACTGTTGAGACTTGAAGTAAATAATATATTTAGTTTATTTTGGTACATCACGATGACGAGAGAGTGAGAGTGAGAAATAGAGAGAACGAGAGAGATAAATTGACGAAAAAATAAAAAAAAGCCGAGAGCAAAGAAGTAGAAAGGCGGAGTACGAGCTATTTTTTAAGAAACAGACTTTATTACTCGATTTGAGTCCATGCATTAAGGTAAAAAGTAAATAAAAAGAACGCAGAGGATAAGTGTGAAAGGAAGAATGATTTTTGCATGAAAGGGGTCGTGTACGAAAGAGTGAGAGAAAGAAAGTGAATGAAAGATGGGAAACTGAGAAGAAAATGCGAAAGAGAGAGAGAGAGAGAGAGAGACTCGCTAATTAGCGAGTGCGTATTGTGTATTTATTGCACAAGGCGAGATTGTCACCACTTGACTGACAAAAAAATCCACATGTGATTTTAATAGTAAATTTTGAGAATTTTACTAAATAGAGACTCTTGTATACACTAAAAAAAGTAACTAAAGTAATTATCGTGACTGACCAAACGAAGAAAAGGGAAAAAAAGGAGAAAAGTGAGTAAACAGAGCAGCAGTAATAGTTGCGCCGACTGGTTCAGGGGTCGAAGAAGGGAAAGAAGAAGGGATCAAGATAGCGAATATAATCTATCGTGTGTCTAGCATCCCCGGATATGGAAAAAGTTAGATTCCACAAGAGTGACCGGAAAAGAAGGGTAGCCGGAATAGAAAGAAAGCTAGAGAGAAAAGGAGAAAAAGAGCGATCGCGAGCGAGAGTATAGTTATTATGTACAGAAAAACGTGCAGAGACGCGTCTTCTTTTTTTTTTTTTCTTGCGGCGACGTGTTTTTTCGCATACAGGTAGAGTTGAACATGATGATTTAAAAAAAAAACCGTAGGATAAGCAACGAGCGAGCGAGGACTCGCTCGGATTAGGAGATAATAGGAAAAGGGGCGATCTTTTATCGGATTAAGAAGCGGCTAAGTTTATAAATAGACGTAGATAGGTAGAATAATAGTTTAGTTATATAGTAGTTAGGATACGAATATGCCTCTCATCCCCCGTGTCCCCTATCCTCCCTCTGTGTGTTGTCGCGGGCACGGGGGGCACGGGCGTGGGGCACCGTTCAGCCTATGCACCTCGCACCCGTCAAGACTGACTGGCTATTCATATTAATTGATAAATATATATATATATTATTCTACACACACATATATATATATATGTATATATATATATATATATGTATGAACTACTTGTATAATTGTATAAATAGTAAGGAACTATTTGCTTGCTGCGCACCGCGGGTCGGGTGCGTGGGCTGGCCGGATGTGGGCTCTTTGAACTCGATAGGGTACCGGAGGCTTGTAGGGTTTCCGCGGTAGAAAATTACCCTCAATCCGAGGACCGGAAACGCACGGAAACGATTCCTTCCGACTCCGGTCATTCGAGGGATCCTCCCACATGAACGTTAGACGCGAATAATCATACGAATTTTTTTTCCTATACGATTCTTTGCCTCTAACAAGTTCTTAAGAACTTTTCACCGCGAGAACTGTCGAGCCTTCCGCAGCCCGGCCGCCAACAAGTTTCGGGCAGGAAAACGGTTCTTGCCGTTGCAGACAATGCTGCTTTCCGTAAAGCTTTCTCTAGAGTTTTTCGCGCGTAGACACTCTTTAGATTAGGCGTACTGTAGTTGATAGGCTGATTGTAGAAAAGGAGATGAGAGGGAGCGAAAAACTGATTGGACGAGAAGGCGAGGCGTAAAAAATATAGAATGTTTTTAAGAATAAAATAACGTTAGTCGAAATCGGCTTAAGAGAATGAAAGCGAATACGATGTATGTTAGCATGTATGAGATAGAGAGAAAGAGAGAAAGAGTGAATTAGCGATAAAGCGATAAAACGAGGTCCGAGGTGACATTAGATCATCGTCTTGTACTTCGACTTGTACAGTCCTTAGCTTTCCAAGTTTTTAAGTCATTGTTTTACACGTGTTTGTTAAGCGACTTAGCAGTAATTACTCGAGACATCTTGAGTTTCTTCCTCCACACTTCCTTCTCTTCCTCCTCCGATGCATCTCCGTGCCCCCCCCCCCTCGTCCCTCCTTTCTTTTTTGCATTTGTACTCTGCTCGTCCTTCGTGTTCGACGGCAAACGAACCGACGAAGGAAGCGGAATTTGTAATATAATTCTACGACGGAACGAGAGACACGTACCCCGTGCGTATTGCTTATCTTTCCAAGATCGACGAGAGAGAAAAAGATAAGAGCAAAAGAAATAAGGGGGAACGATGTCGTCGGACGCTGAGGTCTCTTTTTAAATCCGCGCGCGAGGATCAATTTGTAGAATTTCGAGAGTACTTTTTAAGGCAGAGGTGAAAAGAAGGCGTTTAGTATGTAATGTGAAGAAAAAATTTTTAGACGTTAAGGCAAGTTGTGTCATAGTTAGTTAAGAGATCTAGGGAGACTCTTAGGAAGTCGAATAGGTGCTGTAATAAAACAAAGTTTAACACAAGAAACAAGTCAGAATTAGATTTTTCATGAATAAAGTAAATTTAAAAAATTAAAAAAAAAATGAATGAAAAAAAGCTCGAGATAAGAGGAACGTAAAGAAAAAAAAATAAGGAACGTAACACACGTGACGTTGACGACACAAGGGGCATAAGCCACTAAAAAGTGCCCTTAGTTTATTTTGGATCGTTTAAAAAAAACGCTAGTCTTTGTGTGTGAGAGAGCGAGAGAAAGAGAGAGAGAGAGAGAGAGAGCGCGAGAGAGAGAGAGAAAACGAGAGAAAGATAGTAATGTGGGGGTTTTTTTAGATAGGATCTTCGAGAATAAACAGGCAAACACAAATGAAAAAAAAAAAAAGAAAAAAGGAAAAAGGATTTAAAAAAACAATCGTGCGACGAGAAAGAGGGAGAGATAGAAAAGAGAGGGGCCGACGAAAGTGTACGAACGAGAGGAAGAGAGTGTGCGCATGTGTGTACGTAGGTGTGTGTGCGTAACTTCGAAGAAGAAAAAAGAAGATAACGTGTACTCTCGAAGAACCGTCATCTGCCTATTTTACACACAGCACACGCTTATAAGGAATACATACAGACATACACACATACAAAAAACACACAGTTGTACAGAAAGAAAAGGAAAAAAAAAAGAGGGAAAAAATGTGCGTGCGCTATCGCGGAGAGTATGCACGCTCTCCGCTGCTCCTGTATTATTACCGCGTAATACCCTATGTGTGTCTCTACTATAGGGGCGTGCACTTGAATCGGTGGTCTTTTAGAGTTACTTACGAGTAATGAAGAAACGGTTTGGTAAATAATTAAATAATTCGCGATGCGCGGGAAGAGCGAGTTCCCGGATTCGTCACGATTATCATCCCTTATTTTTGATCAATAAACGATCTGTTTTTGGGGATTTATGCCGAGCGACACGACTCTTACTTCACCCATCTGGCGTACGTAGTTCTTCAAGAAATTCAGGAAGAGAGGAAAAGAGAGAGCGGCTACTAATCCGAGAAAAAAAGAAGCACGTTTTTGTTAAAATCCTTTAGTATTAATCTGTTAGTATTTTTAATTTTATTTTTTTATTACAAGAAATGGATTGTTATATTTATACCATCGATCAAGCCTTTATATTCTTCACATACGATATTATATCATTGAATATAAAGTCGATTTTTCGATGGACTCGTCAATATATTTTCATTTCCAATATAAAAAAGCAGCACATCATTTAGTGTAAACTAAGAAAAAGATTCTCAAACGCGAAAGATAAAAATTACATAGTCATCACAAAAAGTGATTGAGACGCCTTTTACGTAATAATCTATTTTTGTTAATTTTCTAATTTAAATTTTATTAACTATCAATATGACAAATTTATGCACATTGTCTTATGAAACGGGAGAAGATCGTTTTGTTAGCGAACAATACTTTATAACAAATTCTATTTGTAATCCATTTGTAATTAATGCTCTACGTGGTTGGATTTGAATATCCTTAATGTATTGTCTGCACCACCGGACATTATCAATTTAGGATTGGACCAATCGCAGCTGAGGACTTTGTCTTCGTGTCCTAGGAGATCAAACAGCGGTGCCTTGGGGCTGAAAAGGAAAAGTTAATTTTAATAAATTTTATATTGAATAACATTACCATCTTTTGGATTTTCAATTTATTGAAATAAATATCTGAATCCGATTGTAATTTTAATTTGAAGATAATTTCATCGAGTAATAAATTTATAATTTAATACTAAGGTTTGTAACCGAATGAAATTTCACAAAAATTCTTTTAACTTAGTATTTGAGAATAGTTTGCTAATAGATATTTTAATCTCTAAATTTAAACAACCTTCTCGTGTCCCAGAGCTTGACGATATTATCATATGCTCCTGAAATAAAAAGGTGCTCGTCTATGGTCGACCAACGTACTGTCGTCACCCATTGCGTGTGAGAGGTAAATCTAGCTTTTACAATCGTACCTTCTGAAATACATAATCGTAAGTAAATAAATAAGTTTGATATACTTGCTTATACTAATGCACAATTCACATCAAATTAATAGGAAATTAAGAAAATCAGAAATTCAGTGAGAAATTTTTCTAATCTAAAATTTAATATTTAATTTTATCAATAAAATTCATAATTTTGATTTTCAAAGATTAAAAAATTTGAAAAAACCAACAAAAAGTACCTGTAGACCTTGGATCATACAGCCTCACATGTTGGTCGGCTGATCCCGCTATCACGACACGCGACAATGGCGAATAATCAATGTCAAAGAAACACTTGTCACCATATATTTCCTGTTTAATGCCGTTTAATTCGGTATCCCAAGTTTTTATAGTGTGATCCCATGAACCAGTAATGATTTCTGTTTTGTCAGACCACACGATCCCACTGATCGCTTGTTTGTGTCCTTTCATCGCGCATTTCGGCGTCTACGTGTAAAATAAATGCAATCAATAACTTTTCTTCATAAATTTTTTAATATTAATCTGTGTTTACTAATAAGAATGCATTGAAAACATTTTAGTATGATTGACAATATCAGAATGTTTATCAAGCAATTGGATTAAGATGTAGTAAGATGAACTTTATAATTTAATTAATTTAATGTGCATACCTTCGTTTTATTCGCGTATTCCGATCTTGCTCTTTTCGACGCGGATTCTCCATCATTGTCATCCTCATGTGTAGCTTAAGAAAGCAAGAAAGATTTGTCCTGATAATTAATATTTCATCTTTTGCTATCAAATTATATCGGTATTCATATATTCTAATTTCTAATTTTCCTTTTTTTTATTAAGATCATATTTTTAAAATAAAAGAATTATAAGAAAGTTATGGGACACTATAATTTTAATTTTTCAAGAATATATATATTGAAATTTGAAAAAAATAATCTTCAATTTCTTACGCTAGTATACTTACATGTTGACCAAATATATAGCATATTATCCCAAGCACCAGTTGCCATTAACGTTTTATCGTAATTAATGCTGACTGCTTCAATGCTTCTTCTGTGTCCTTTGCAGATATGTACACATTCCACAGAATTCTTCGTTATATCCCAATTCCATATCATACACGTCTGGTCCATTGATGCGCTATATATGTATGTAAAATCATTGTTAACTATTACTCGTTGATATCCTTGAAAATTCACTTATATATCACGTTTTCATATTGATTTTGATGAGTCCACTTTACTATGTATGAGCAAAGAAGTTTACTATAGATATAATACGATATCTAAAATATATAAAATTGATGCTATTTTTTAAATTACCTAACGAAGGAAGCATTATCGTCATTGAGAGATATCCAAGCTACTGCCCTGACAGGAGATACATGTCCAGGAATCACAAGATGATGCTTGCCTTTCAATGTCCAAATGTGTAACATATTGTCATAAGAACCAGTTAGGATCCTAAATAAAATCATTTGAGATTAATACTCCAATTAGATACAAAGTATGTTTTGAAATTGTTTTTGTAATTGTCTCAATCATTAGGTACCAACCATTTTCCACAAACAGCAACAGCTGATACCCAATCATCATGTATTAGGCAATCCTTTGGCTCTGGTGAAGGATGCTTTTCTACATATTCTATATCTATCACATCCTCTGTAGAAATTTCTCTATCAGTGATATGTTCTATCAAAGAGCTACGTAGAAACTGTGAGCATATCAGGAAATCAAACTCCACTTGGTCTTGGATATCATTCGACTCTGTGAAAAATCAATTTAATCTTCAAAATGATCAGGAAGTTTTTTCATAATTACGTAATTCTATAAAATTCGTGAAATTAATTAATTAATAAAAATTAATAAAAAAATACATACATATACAAGAAAGCATACTTTAATATTAGCATATTACATTTAACAATTGCAAATGATTTAGAAGGAAATAAGGAAAGATAGTACAACATATCAAAGCGACTTTCATTAGGTCTTCCTCACCTTTCAGAAGTTCATTTACCAGGGTGTTTAATTCGTCAGTTATTATCGAGCTATGAACCGATAAGGGATAATCTGGTACCGCAAATCTAGAATTGTTAAAATAAAAAATGATAAACTGTGAACAAATGTCCAACAATAAAAGGAAAGAATAAATTCTTACTGCTGCTGCTTGGTTATAAAACGTATTTGTATCTGAGTTTCGTCCTTATGGTCCTTATTCGTGCTCATGGCCTTATCCTTCGATTTCGTTTTAAGACGATTCTTCTTAATAGACTCGATTTCCATGATAGTCCCTTCGAATTTGCTGATGTTCCAAATTAATAGATTTTTAACCTCACTTCTCACCGCCACGAATTTCAAACAAGGCGTGCACACGTTGGCACTGGTTGGCACGTGCAACGATGACCAACGATATAGTTTGGATCTGACGTCGTTGATCATTGACCGGTCAGTCTATTTATTATTACATTATTTTACAATTATCTGCTCATAGATGTCTCTACAGATATCCTTCAGAGTTCATCTGCCGGTTCTTGCCGAATGATTGCCGACCTTGCCGACCGAACAAGCCGCGAACAGGCATTATGTTATTTGCGTCAATTTGCGTTTGGTCGATATCGCTCTGTCCATCCGCTCTGCTCATCGTCGCTGATCGTCGTGTACATAGAAAATACGGCGACGATGCTGGAGCGGGTAATCACCGTGGCGATCTGAAACGGGAAGTGTCAGTGGTCGTTCGATACTTGTTGGTACTCGTACTCGCCAACGTTCGTCGAAATCGCCGAAGAGGACGAGCCCAACGGCGAGCTGAAAAAGGAGTAGTCACGTGATCGAGGGTGTCGTACCGAAGATCAACCCCGACGGCTCAGCCATCGTACGTGAATGTGTGCGCTCGTGTGATATGCCGGTGTCCCACTTCTTGGTGCAGTACGATACCATTCGTCCCTTAAAACTAACTATTTGCTTCGCGTCACTAGGGGTTCGGTCGAGAACGCAGCCGTGATCGTCGTCATCCGCTACTATGTGCATTACGCATTAACAACGCATAAACACTGTGATCAAGGTGAGCCGGGGCTGTTTCTCCTTGTATGTACGTTACCTATGTATATGTAAAGCGATTTATTTTTATGCGCGTTCCGAAGATCGATCTGCGAATGTATGGTGAGTGCTTTTCGGTTTTTCCGTCTCCCTCCATTTGTTGGGGAAGCAAGAACGTGTCAAGGGCGAGTTCCGAGGGTGAGTCGCACCGCGTCGATCTCCAAAATACGTCAAAATACGCTGAAGAAGAAAGGGGTGTACATATTGCGTTTAGAATTCTGATTCGTTTAAGTGGAAAAATAGCTATCGCTTCTTGTTTATCTTACGTAGTTATCTATTTAAATTATCTTACAATCTGAAATAGCAAAAAGTCCGTGATGTGGTATCATAATGAATAAAAATGTACTACTACTATTACTTCGATTTTATAATCAAGATATCATGTGGAACAAGATTGCAAGTGTTGCAAGATTAACAAAATTGTTATTGTAGAGTCTATCTTTACATCGTAATTCAAAAAAATTAACTTTCTGTATGCTTCTATGAAGCCATCAAAGAATTAATTAAATTCAAAAAAACAATTTCTTTAGAAGCTACAATTGATATTTAATGAATATTGTTTTACATACAAAATGGATTTTATAACATGTGGACATAACGTCAGAAATAAATTTATGACACAAAAAATTTATAACGTATATCTGATCTTGATTCTAAATTACAGATATTTTTGTTTCATTAATTACAAACTGAGCTGTCATTTTTTTTAGATACAATATATTAAATTAACATATATATTATAATGTATTTTTTTCTTTTTTTCCTCTCTTACTGCTAGTTGTCTTAAGTGTAAAAACTTATGTAACAGCTAAAAGAAACACTTCTATAAAAGTTTTTTTTTCTTTTTTTCGAAGTATAAATTCAATGTATACATATCTTTTATATGCATTTATTCACTTCATACATAAAGATTTAAAAGCAAAACTAAATAAACAGATTCAATGTTCTCTTAGGTATTCACTGAATATAGACAATGTATAGTTGGAAAGAATATAACCTATAGTAGCCTTTACAATATATATGATTTAGTGTGATTTATGTATACTGTGGCGTACAACATTAGTCTATGACATGAATATAAAATAGTACATTGTGCGTCAAAGAAAAACAAGCATTTATTTAAGACTCAAGGATATCGATTTTTTGACATAGTTGCAGATAGAAAACTTTGGTTTTTTGTGCAGTTGTAAGATGAATAATAAATTGCATGAATTGCATTAGTGTTCAATATTAACTGTGATGAAGTAGTTGTTACCGTACTAGAAATTCATATCATTGAAATTACAATCTAGAACAAAATTTCAATATTTATATTATTAAATTGATACTGTAACTTTTTTATTTTATTTATTTATTTTTATTTTGTTTTCTATTCAATTATTTTTTTGTTAAATTTTGTTTTTATTTGAACCAGAGGTCTGAAATTTTTTAAAAGACAGATTAGAAAATATGCACTAAATACTAGCAGTGATTATTTGCATAAATATAAATTACTTCAAAGTTGTGTAACAACTTTATTCGACTTTATATCTCGACTAATATATCTCTTTATTCAACCTTAATATATCTCTTGCATTAATATTTTCTACACTAGTATAAATGTAGTCTTTAGACTTAGTATATGTTCTTTTGTCGGTTATAGCATGTATGCACTGCAGATGCAGACTGCCTGCCAGGGCGATGGCACCGGCGAACCTGATGATCCCAGTAGCCTTCATCAGGAACCAGTGCGACCTGCTACCCAAGATTGCAGCTCTTTCGATATTGTCAGAGCTACGCAGGTAATGTTAGTGATCGAATTAAAGAACGTATTTTTTTAATTTATGTTTTTAAAAGATGAAAAAATTATGCATTATATCTTGTAAATTTACGATAAATTCATAAATGTGCAATCCATATTACTAAATTATATAGATTTATGATTGAATGAGATATATTTGCAGTATGGGGCGTTGGAGCGAGTGACACAGTTGGTAGAAGCTGGTGCCGACGTGAATCAGCCAGATTCGGAAAATGTGACGTTATTGCATTGGGCTGCTATAAATAATCGTAAAGATATTGTCAAATATCTTATTGCAAAGGGAGCCGTAGTCGATGCTATTGGTGGTGATTTGGCCTCCACACCATTGCATTGGGCCACGAGGTCAATATTTTTACTAATATTAATATTATTTAAACTGTGAATGATATACAGTTTTAATGAGAATAATTGAAATTTTTTGGAAATAAGTCATTTTATGCAATGCATTAAGCTTCCTACAATTTTGCATACAGCCTCTATTTTTTTAATTGAATTTATAAGATAGCTTTAAAAAAAAAACTTAAAAAGAGATTTATTTTTCAATTGTCTTTCCAGACAGGGCCATCTCTCCGCGGTTGTGATTCTAATGAGGGCAGGTGCTGATCCAACCTTAAGAGATTGTGAAGGCTTCTCCTGTATACATCTGGCGGCACAATTTGGCTATACGGCTATAGTGGCTTATTTGGTAGCAAAAGGCGTGAATCCAAATATGCCAGATAGAAGTGCCATGACGCCCCTTATGTGGAGTGCCTATAAAGTTAATAGGTACACAGAGTACCGAATTGTTATTCTACAAGTTACTTGTTTTTTCAAATAGAATAATGTTATGTTGGTTACTTTAAAGTCTTTCTTTTTACAGTCTAGATCCAACGCGACTGTTGTTGACTCTAGGTGCATCGCACTCACTTACCGATAATTTGTATGGTAATACCGCCTTGCATTGGGCCATTATAGCAAAAAACAACACGGCGATATCCATCTTGGTACAACACGGAGCCTCGTTAGATCTGCCCAATTTTCGAAATGAGACGCCAATGGCGCTGCTAGGTCCGCATATCAGCGCGACATGGTTAGAACATAAAATCAGGGATGAGATTAAAGAAAAACAAGGTCGTACGAGAACATGGTGTAGAGATAAGGTAACGATGACATATCATAAATGTGTCATAGTGTGTTATAATATCTGTGTATTTTTTCAAGTTAATTTTTTAAGACAGAATTTGAACGATTAAGCTAGACTTTTCCAATTCTTCTATATGATTGTTTCATTATCATATATTTTTTTTTACAGAAAATTCGTTGGTATTGTATGGTCACTACGCCGCTTATAGCATTTTATGTGATTGGTATGATTCTACAAAGTGGATGGGATTATTTATTAAAACTAGGTGCCTTTATCACCCTTTATGTAGCGGTGTATTTAATGAACCATTTCGTGTTCGACGAACGGCTATTTCACGTTTTGCCAGTGTCGATTTATTTTGCAACCAAGGTGAATATAATTCCAAGACGTATTCTCTAGATAACCAAAAACGTTTATGAGCGATTTCCGATAAGCTGTAAAACGTGATAAATAATATTGTCGATAAGATGATAAGCTCAAAACCAGTGTTACTTACTTAAATACTTACTACATAAATATTGCAGTAATACAATAGATAAAATAAATATTAGTAGCACGTAATGAAAGTAAATATAACTATATAATATTTAAAATATTAATTAATAATATTAAGAAAATTTCGAAATTGTAAAAAAATTCTCATGCTTATCAATAGATAGTTAAATGCGATTTTAATAACATAAAATATATAAGAAGTGGAATATAAAGTTGTTTATAAATTATCAGTATTATTATCTATAAATATATCTTATTTATATACTTTATGCATTTTTAATGAATGATTATGTCAATACATTTATTAATTCATTACTTGCTGATTTATACAGTCAATTGTAAACTGTATGCTAATTTTTCTTTTTTTTTTCAGATGTGGATATATATTACATGGATTTTCTGGCTAGGTATCCATGCAGCATGGTATTTATGGTTGTTATTCGTCGGTGGATCTGTTCCTCTCTGGATATGCTTTCTACAGTCTTGGCGGGGTGATCCCGGAATTATTACGGCTACTCACGAGGATAAATTAAATGTATACCTCTTGTTATTTTTACATGTAAAATAAACACAAATGTATGTATATTTTTGTTTACAGACGATAATTGAATTGGCTGAATCAGGTGGTTTTGAACCGCAATGGTTCTGCAGTAGTTGTTTAGTTCGAAGACCTATAAGATCTAAACACTGTGCTACATGTGATCGTTGTGTAGCACGATTCGATCATCACTGTCCATGGATTAATAATTGCATTGGTAAGTGGTATACAAATATTCTATAGGATCTATGTATAATTCTTTTATTGACTAATCAAATTGCCACATCTGTTTACTCCGTTAGTAGAACTCCGTTTATTTGAATAGGAGGGAAGACATTTATAAGTCCGATAATTGAATAGTT